CGTTACCGACGAGACAAAATAGCTCTTTGTTTTTCTTTTTAATCGATATTTTTAAATCTGGGTAAATATTTAATATAAATCTCGTATAATTAACATGCAGAAATAATACTAATAAGTTTTGAGACACTTCACTTCTTTTTCTAATTTTTAATTAGCCAAAGACGCCTACCTAAACATTTTTTGATTTTTACCCATAAATCAATCTATTTTAATTAATTATTACAAGTGTACGCTTTACGTATCGTTTAACGAATAAAATTATGCCTTGACGATAAGGGTTCGCTACGCATCGGCATTAAAACATTGAGCTCACACAAAAAAATCCTTGAGCTCATATAAAAAAAACAATTGTGGAAATTAGAAAGTGCTTAAAATGTCAGTTCCTAATCATCTAATTACCCCAAATATACTTGAATCACCCACAAAATCACCCTCACAGAACACTATAGGGTGCTAATATTTTTAAAACTATAAATTGTGTTAAGCAGTAAGTATTTTGGATTTAGGGTGTCCAGAAATCAAAATGCTGTATATAGAAAAAGGTTCCAAGTCTTTTGTTCTCAAAAATAATAATAAATAGTTATTTTTAAGTTTATTGCAAACATTTCTCAAAGCAATAATGTCTTCGACACAAAAATTTTTAAAACAAAAATTCATTAAGCAAAAATTCATCAAGCAAAATTATCTTTAAAATTCTCAAAGCAATACATTTTCAAAGCAAAAATAACTTAGATAAAAATTAAATAATCAAAAATTATTATTAATAGGCATACTCACTAGAGATTTCAAGTAATATGCATAATAAACAAAGCTAACTAAACCATCATTTGGGGATCTATTTAAATAAAAAAAATTATTAAAAATTACCTCCTAATTTTTGTTAATAATGTTAATAACAAATTTTACGAAATTACGATAATCAGCACATAAAAAAAAAAATTATAAACCGAGTAATTATTGGTGTACCATATACCGTATACGGGAAATTTTTAATAAGAAACGAAGATACAGCGATTCAAAGTCGTCAAAAATGACCACTTTTCAGCAAAATAATCATTTCAATCAAATAATGAAAATAGAAATTCGGCTTAATAAGATTTTTTGGTCCAAATTTAATGCTTTGTAAGATTTGGTCATGGATTTTATGAACAACAAATTTCTTCCTAGGTTGCAAGAATAAATAAGGTAAAAAAGTCAGTTTTCTGTGTTATTTAAACGGCAAAACTTAAGATTCGATGAAGGACCTCTTAAAATTGAAATTATGAGCTCCGCTTTTAACAGAATATTTGTTTGGACATATTATACGATATTTTAGGTGGAGAGCAAGAAAAAAAAATATCGAGTTTTTTTGGCACACCCTAATATATATATATATAATATATGACATATAATGTCACTCACAAAAATAAAAATATAAAGATTAAAAATAATAATTAAATGATTTTTGGGTCTCTTTTATAACAAATTTATTTTATTTTCTGCTAAATACTAAGAAATTTTATTGAACAATTAATTCTATATAACAAAAAGCAATATTTAACAACTAGTTATGAAAATATTTTTTTATTCCAAAACGCTGAAATGTTGCTTCTATATTTTAGGAGCATAGATTATTTTTTAGCTTTTTATTAGTGTATTTTTATTGTTTTATAAGACATTTCCAAACCACCTCGTTTTAGTCTGCTTACTAAAAAAAATCTTTTTAATATTTTAATATCTTTCGTAGCCTTTTAAAAAACTTAACCCGCAATTTAGCTACCAGTTGTAGACAAACATTTCGCAGCCCCAGGGTCTTTGTTAAATCTCAGGCGTTTTCAAAAGCACTTAAAACGTATAATACTCGTGTAAGGCATCTCCGTGTTTATGCGTAGCAAATTTCATGCTTGTTAAATAAGTACGCCGTTTTGAGTTTTCGCTCTATGAATATTAATTTCAGGTTTACAATCAAGCTCAGTAAATAGTGTATGAGTGGTCCATAATGTTGAGCGGTTCTAAAATAATTGTAATAACAAACAGTCTTATCGTTTTTTTAAATTATATTAAACTGAACAATTAGGAAAATCTTGTTTTATTTATAAATAAGCATTATCCTTAACTTGAATATTTCACGTAGGTGGTATAGTTAATTCCTTTCCAGGAGTCCTAACTTGACTCCTGCTTTTTTTCTTAATTAATGCATAATAAGCTGGGTTTACAACGACAAACCAGTCGCGATAGTCCAATTTAAAAAAAATGACGAGACTAAAGTACAATGTTTTTTTATTTCATGTAGTTATATTTTATGTTAAAATAAATTTGATTTGATTTGGATATTTATGGCGAAACGCGAAACTAACTTGTACTTTTTTATTCATATTAAGATTATTATAATATATTATAATTATAATTTTCGTGTTATTTTGCGCAGAAACTAAACAAATATTTATTTACCTTGAAAATGGGATATTTCAAATTAAATTAGAAAATTTATTTGTAGATGAGTTTTCATTAGCTTAAGTGTATGAATTACCAACAGTAAAATCGTTATTCCGGCTCTATTATTTTCTACTCTCAATTGCAGCTTAGGTGTTTGATTTAAAATAAAAAGCTTTTAGCTATTACTTTACTTAAAATGCTATTTTAATAACTTTTTTGTAAAAATGTATTGATTTAAAAATAGTTGTTTTTTATTACACTCGTCTACCTGGAAAAAATGCCAAAAAGTATGTTTAAATTAAAATAAAATGGTTTTTATTCATTCACTATTCAAGTACTAATTGTCAATTTTCAAATGTTCTCAATTTAATTTTTAATATTTGTGTTTAGTGCCATAAAGTACTTAATAAAATATTTCTAAAGTACTTAATTTAATATGGTATATAAAACATGTTTCTTTTTTAATCATTATTAAAAGTTTGTAATGCACTGTTAAAATACCCTGTATTATTTTAAACTAAAATTAGCTTTTAATTATGATATCAATTAATAATCAGGTATAACTTACCGGAGTATCGATTTGATCACCGACTTACATATGTAGTCATTATAATAATTATATAGGTTATTAAAATAATTGAAAGAAGATTCAGCTATAGGTATAAAAGTAAATTCAGTAAATATAGGTATTTTTGACATAATAATATTAATTTTTATTTTTTATGTTTATTAATGAGAAGTACTTACATTATATTTAATTTAAATACTATATTTAAAAATTGAAAAATGATGTACAATATAATAAATTATTATATATAAAATATATAAACATGTAACGAAAATGAAAAAAATATATATTTACCGAAAATAAAAATATTTTAATCCCTGTTTCATTTTGTATTTCTATTTTTTATTTCCGATTTCGGATATTAAAAAGGCAGTCTTTAATTAATCTATTTTAGAGCAGCAAGAAAAGACGGCAGCACAAACGGAGAATATTTAACGCGTTGTTACATGCAAAATGTTTAAGGAAAATTATTTCTTACTTCAGATAATTATGGCTGGGACGCTTAGGCCCTTTTTCTCGAAGCGCGTATAAATAAAAAAAATAATTTTTGTAATTTTATTTAATTAACCTCCGACGCCAATGCTCTGTATTCTTTATAACCTAGTATAATGATTATTTTAATGTTAGTGATAAGCTGGTTTTAGGCAATAATATTATTGTGGCAGTTTTCTTTCATTCTAATTCTTGTACGCTTTATTTAAAAAAATTATTATATTTATACAACTTTACAATAACATATTTAAACAATAAAGTATTCATACAACTGTACTATAACATAATTTACCAAATAATCGTTCTTTATAAATTTTTAAGAGCTCTATTAAAAAATCTATTTATATAATCACGAACAGAATGGATATTATGCGGAAAGCACAAATCGTAAAAATTGCTGCTAAAGTAAAATAATGCCATAAATTCGTTTCCATTAACATATCTTAGCTTTATTTTATTGCCTGTTAAATATAATGCTGATGAATAGTTTCGGATTTTACGATGAAACGAGACAATTCGATATTAAATTAAAGAATTACGACAGTTGGAATTAGTGGAATTGTAATAATTTTATTTCTTACTTACGTAACTAAATATAGGGGTTATATAATTTATAGTTATAAATTATTATTTAAAAATATTTTTAAGTAAAACGATTTTATTGTCTTGAGTCAAAATAAATAATGAAACTAGTATAAAAGTATTAATATTTAAATTTATTGTGTAATTAATTAGTCTTGCATTTAATACGCTCTACAAACCTTGACTTGGGTACTAATATTTATTGTATTGTCATCGGGTTTATACCGTATTTTTATTTATGGTGTAGATAACTGACACATCATAGCAGTATTTTAAGTGGGGGAAATAACTTTTTTAAACAGTACGAAATATACCATACAAATTAGGGATGTTAATATCAATAAAAAAATGTATCGATACTTATCGATAATTTTTAAATAATTATCGATAAGTATCATTAACTTCCCCCACCACAAAATATTTTATGTGATTTTAAGAACCATTTTTAATAATCAAACAGAGGGTTTAAAATCCCGTGGATATTAAAGAATGTTTTTGCAACCTAGGTTGCAAAAAAAACAGCTGTTATACGTCTAGTGGTTTCTTGTCTATGGGATATTCTTACTCTTTTTTAACTAAAGTACTATAGCATAGGCTATTACTACCAACAAAATAAGCGAAAAAACCCATAACAAAAGTAAATTCGGAAAATAGAAGAATATATAGAAATTCGAAGAATTTTTATCGATAACTATCATTAATTTATAAATTATCGACAAATATCGATAACAATTTTAATTAACTATTGATACATTTAACATCCCTAATACAAATGCAATACCCAAATTATGCTCAAACGGGTGCGGTCGCCGCTGCAAAGTATCCCCACTCTCCTACAAAATGTCTATAATGTATACCTAATTTCAGCTGGAGCAGGCAGCTTCGGAGCCAAATAAAATCGTTTAATAAAAAAAGATTTTTGAACAACTTATTTTATTTTTAGATGAAAATGGTATGACACTTTCTGCAGACAAGCCCATAGACTTAAGGGACTTCATGAAAATTTGTGACCACCACAGAAAGTTCTCAGTTTTATACAAGTTGGAGTTTGAAGTGAGTAACTTTATATATTTTTAATTAAAACTTTTTATTGGCTTTTAATTTCCATCATATTTAAGTTCAATTTGAATAATTTGCTTACCTATAGGTATACCGAGCAAAAAATAAATATAATTTTTTGGTATTTATTACGAAATACCGTGTTTCTAACATAATGTTCCAAAAATGGTGAATGCACCGGGATTAAATCTCAATTTTATTGGTTATTTTAAATATAAGTTCTAGGTTGAAACTTATTCTTTATTAAGTATTCCTATTTTATTCAGGTACATTTAATCGATTTAGGAAAACCCGATTTCAGACGTATAAAACGATTTATGTTTAAAAGTTAGCATTTCTATGAGTAGGTGTGGCCCTAAAAACCCTGTATAGAAAAATAGTATATTACACTACAAGGGCAGAAAGTGTGAGATTCCTGCACTGCCCATGTAGTGTATACTATTTTTCTTGCTACCCGGCCGAAAATACGGGAAAAAATTAAATGTGTATATCGAAACATATTGATGCCTGCCCCGACATTTGCGGCACGAGCGATATTATAGAGGGCGCGCGTATAGCTTGACCATATTTCAATATATTTGACAAAATAAAAAATTTACAAATATTATTTGTACACAGAGAAAAGTAATCTCTTGATTTAACTATATCTGTCTTGACTCAAATAAATTATTTATTTCGATATGATACAAGAAGATATTTATTTAGTGGAAAACTTGGGTTTATTTGACTTTTTAAACTGATGGTTTCTTTAATACAAGTAAATATTTAGTTGACTTTTTATCTCAGGTTTAGTAGAATCTTACTTAAAGAAACAAAACATTTACTTGAAGTAAGTAATTCATTTTTTTAAATTAAATGTGAAGCTTTCTTAAAGAAACAAAATATTTACTTACATGAAGAAAACAATTTATTTCAGACAAATAATTAGTACTTTTTAATATTATAATTTCACGAAATATATAGTGATTGAACCAAACAAATGTTTGCTTGTTTTAATACTATTATTTATTTATTTTAATGTTGTTAATTACTTGATATTTGGTGGGGAAAATTAAATTAAAAAACGTTTATTCCAATATTTTTTATTTAAACAAAACAAGTGTACACTTGTTTTGTTGTAAATACGTACCTATTTACAATAAACATTAAAAACACACAATATAAAATTAACAATAAACAAAACATATAATATATGAGCGGACAAAAATAGGAACAAAAAATACTTCAGTCACTGAAGTTCAGTGTAAATATTAGTGCACGGCATTAATAAAATACACCAAGTCTGTGGGTAAAAGTCATAAGAGGATAAGTCAAAACAAGCAATTTTTCAGCAGAACCTTAAACGTGTTCGCATTAATTCAGGAAATATATTTATGGGACATTTGAACATTTTCAAAAACTTAATTTATTATTATCAGATAGGTATCTTTGTTGAAAACAAATGTTTGCTTGTTTTAATACTATGATTTATTTATTTTAATGTTGTTAATTACTTGATATTTGGTGGGGAAAATTAAATTAAAAAACGTTTATTCCAATATTTTTTATTTAAACAAAACAAGTGTACACTTGTTTTGTTGTAAATACGTACCTATTTACAATAAACATTAAAAACACACAATATAAAATTAACAATAAACAAAACATATAATATATGAGCGGACAAAAATAGGAACAAAAAATACTTCAGTCACTGAAGTTCAGTGTAAATATTAGTGCACGGCATTAATAAAATACACCAAGTCTGTGGGTAAAAGTCATAAGAGGATAAGTCAAAACAAGCAATTTTTCAGCAGAACCTTAAACGTGTTCGCATTAATTCAGGAAATATATTTATGGTACATTTGAACATTTTCAAAAACTTAATTTATTATTATCAGATAGGTATCTTTGTTGAAAACACCTACCTAGGTAGGTACCTATAGTTTAAAAACAAATACATATAGTTTGCCAACCAAAATTACTTGCACTTGTCAAATACAAAAAGAAACGGTTTATTTTTAGTTTATGGCCTGTAAGTAAAATGTGCAATTATATTTAAAAGTTACAAGTCAAGTCTGAGACATGCATGATCCAAAATAAAATAGGTACCCATATTATCATATAACTTTGCAGTTTCCAAACTACCTAGGTACACAAAATTTTAATTAACTAAATCACTTTTACTTACCAACAAAACTAAAAAGCAAATGGGTTAAATTATTTTCTTTGAAGAATTCTTCCATACTATTAATCATAAGCACTTAAACACAAAACTATAACCGTTGATTAAACACCTCCTTCTCTTAAGTTAAGAGTCTTAACGCTTTGCCAAGGACGCTCTGCGAGTTTGTTTGCAAATGCTGCCGGCAGCCGGACAAGCGTCTTTGTCTTTGGAGTCAACTGCTCTAATTGGCTCCGCGAGTCACGTGGACATAAAAGCAAATAAATATGTATTTGCTTCAAGTAAATGTATTTTTGAAACAAACAAATCACGCGTTTACGTTAATTATATGACATACATTGTATCAATTCTATTATTTTGTTAAAATAAGATATTATATGCTTGTATTAACATTTGATAAAACTAAATCCATACAACCTATATCCAAACAATTTAATTAATTGCTCTAAATAAATATTTCTTTACAATTAATCACAACAATAAGTTGTTTTCAAGAAACTCATGATTTACAACCAAATAATAGTATTTTCTTATTGAAAACAAGAAGTTACTACGAATAAGACAATTTTACTTCTTACAAGAAAAACTGTTTCAAATAAATGCATTTTCTTAAATCAAGAGATTACTTTTCTCTATGTATATTTTTTATTTTAGAAGGATAAAAAATTACATTTTCTTACTACCTCGGCCGAAAATACGTATAGCTTGACCAATGCATCAAACGTAAACTTTCTGCCGTGGAATCGGGGACGAAACAACGTATTTTTTGCCGAGGTTGTAAGAAAACAAAATTAATAACTTGTATGACTTATAAATTATCTTGTATGTCGTCTGAACTAGTCTAAAGTATTATAATCTGACAAAAACAAAAATTAGATGGAAAAACTAAATCCATAAAAAAATTTATGCTGATTACATAAAGGAAAAGGCAATAGGTACCTAATAGAAATAGGACAAAAAATCGCATGAAAAGGGGTGTTTACAATTTTTAAAACGACCTTAAAAAATATTCATTAACTATGGTTTCGCGTAAAAATCGAACAAATTTTGGACATTTGTTTGCAAGTGATGCCAGAATTGAATATATTTTTGTAACCTTGTTTCTACATCTATATGGTGGTTTTTTTTCCAAAAAAAAAATTCATTCATTGACCGATGTGGTTTTCAGGCCTTAAGTCACTATACTGTGTTAAAAATAAATTTAAAAACTTATCGATTTGAAATTAAGACAAAATGTAGACCTTATTAATGGCAATTAATCCACGTATTATTTTTTTTTAGATTTTAACATACAGGGAGCGCTGGGGACAATTTAATTTAAAATTTTACCATTTTTTAAGGGTTAAAAAGTCGAAGAAGCAACGTTGTTTAATAATTTTGAGTATATCACGTTAAAGTACTGATAATTAACTATTATTTGATATATAAATTTCTACATGCAAATTTTGTTTCTACGAGAGACATTATTTTTAAGTTAGGTCTTCAAAGGGTATAATACTAACGTGTTTAACAAAGTATATATATTTTATCTAGTTTTATAAGATAATTTATTACATATTATGTATATTACATATTATACATTATATATTACATATAATATATTATAAATAACATACAATTCATACATATTTATTTTAAAAAATCGCCATAGATGGAGCTAAAATTATTTTTATTTATAAATTTATAATTTTTTCAAGTTTACTAATTTTGATCATAGTATGCATCATAGACTTTTCTCTATGGTAACCTACCATTGGATAATTTGACAGTTCAATATATAAGTTGCAAATTACTGATTGCGTTTCAATTTATAAGTGTACTATAAATTTAAAACATTAATTTATTAAAATGTATATATATAATCGATACGTTTTGAAATAAAAAAGTTATTTAAAAAAAATAAAATTAAAGTTTCAATTTATTTCTTTTACCCTTGCAAATCGACCGTTCAATCCTTTCGCGAAACCGTAGTTAAACAAACCACTAAGAAAAATTTCTAAAAAACAAATATTAGGTACCCAATTTAAAACTATTGGGGCATACCTCAAATGCCAAAAATGTTTGTATTAATTCTAATACTTAAAAAATTCAAGCTATTTATGACACCCTTAACTACATAAAAATGAATTTGTAAATTTTGTGACCTTCATATTTAAAGGGGTAAGAAGCAAAAGGGTACAAGTGCAATAAGTTAAGTGCATCTTTTTCTGCATGTTGATTAATGCAAACATTGAAACAATTATCCAGATTTTTGTATATAGAAAAAACGTTAGTAAATCACTCCATTTCTCTTCTTTGCAATTGTACCATTTTGCTTCTTACCCCTCATTTGTTTGTTTTATGCATGAACAGAAACCAAGTTGTTTTAAAATAATTATAAACACTGTAACTTTTGCTCTAAAAAAACTAATTGCTTGAATAATAATAATATAGACTTTGTTCGAAAAATTAAATCTGACATAGGATGCCTATTAAATTAAATTTAAATTCAATTCAATTTAAATTCAATTCCTCTAACGTACCGGGCCTATTTTCCTTATAGGTATTTTCATTTAAAAAATTACATAATGACAAATCAGAAGACCGAGGAGGCCATATTACACCACCTAACGAAATAATGCGTTTGGAAAATTGTATTCCAGCAATTACATTTTTTGATAGCACAGTTTTTAGGATTAAAAATTTTATTTTCCACCAAATATTCTGACAATTAAATTTTTTTAAAGCAAAAATTACAGTTTTTATGATTATTTTAAAACCACTTGGTTCCTGTGCTCCACCCTGTATAATAAGTTTTATTTTTTTAAAATGTAGTTTTTATAGTCAAATT